TTTAACACCAAAAGAGAAAAACCCTTCTCCTTCCAAACCTGGCTGTGTGTGGAGGGCACGGTGGGGTTAACAGCAGAGCAGGTTCCACTGGAGCTGTTGGGGCGGGAGGATGGGAACAGATTGCCTAGGCACAATTACAGTAAATGAAGGAAGCACAGCCCACACCTGTGCCTGGGACCCTGCGCTCCAATCCAGCCCTGATTGCATCTCCAGGGACTTCCCGGAGGTAAAGTGTCAATTAGTGTAATGACCCTGGACTTTGTCCACTCTGTTCCCTCCTTCTGAGCGTGGAATAATTTCATGGACGCTGGGGGATCTCTTTTAGCAAACTCCTCACAACACCACCTGCTCACCCTCTCATTCTTCCAGTGCTATTCCCAGCTCTCCTTCCACAGGATTGTTGGACTGGAATACAAAATGCAGCACGCCCTGGAGGCACTGAGGTCTGGATCTTCACAGACAATGATGCCCAAACACCTGTATAGATAATATTATCTTTTCTTTGGAACGGGAATGTAACAAACCCTGCCTTGCAGCTCAGTCCTGCATATGAATTCAAGAAAGGATGGGACTCCAGGTAGGAGAGGTTCCCAGCTCCCTTAACAACTCAGACTGATTACCATGAGGTAATTATCCCCATTTTACATGCAAATTCTAGGCACTCTTGCAGATTTTGTCTCAAAATGCACTTGCTTAGGGCTGGAGGCAGTTTTAACCCCTGTGCAGTCAGCAAATACTTCACAAATCTGTGGATATGGGATCTTGGGGCACACTCTGGAGCTAAACAGAAATGTCTGAGAAAAAATCAGAGCTTATCAGAGCCAGGAATAGGGATCTCCATGGGGCCAAGGCAGGAAAACCAACCCCCATGGAATGAGGATCTCCATAGAGGCAAGAAAAGAAAACCAACCCCCATGGAATGGGGATCCCCATGGGATCAGGACAGAAAAACCAACACCCACGGCACAGCATCTCAGTGGATGACTCCAGCTTCAGGTGAAGTCCTGGTGCCATCCTGCAGGCATTGCACTCCCCAGCCTCACAGGGAGACTTCACAGACCTCTGAAAAAGGAAGACAATCCATGTGTTCATCGAGGCACCTGAAGATGATCCATGATGATGTCCCAGTGTTGACTGACTCGGGATCATTGCTGTTGTGTGTGACACTACAAGGAAGACACCTGCAATCAGATCTGGTTTAAACTGGTGTCAACAGGTTGAGCCATCTTAAGAGCACATTAAGGCCTACTGAGGTTTATAGGCTGAGGTATGACTTGGAGCATAATTTATCCATGTTTTTTAGCTTGAGGCAGCTTTGTCCTCATGTGAGAACTGTGGGTCTTTTATAGGGGCCGAGGCGTTTCCCTCGTGCTTTGGGGATTCATTCAACCTGTGCTAAACACTGAAATAATCTAAAAGCGTGGAAGCTACAGGGGAGAACAGTTCAAAACACTAGGAGCTGAGGTTAGGCCAAGATTTCCTGTCACTGCTGAGCCAGCTGGAAAAAAGGAGTGTCCTGCACATGGGAATTAAAGCAAGAAGGTGAGGTTGAGAGAGATGATTCTGCCCCTCTGCTCCACTCTGTTGAGACCTCACCTGGAATGTTCTGGGATCCCCAGCACAGGAAGGACATGGATCTGTTGAAGCAAGTCCAAAGGAGGCCACCAAGATGTTCCAAGGGCTGGAGCTCCTTTGCTGTGAGAGGCTGAGAACTGATGTTTAGCCTGGAGAAGAGAAGGCTCTGGGAAGACCTTAGAGCCCCTTCCAGTGCATAAAGGTGCTCCAAGAGAGCTGGAGAGGGACTTTGGAAAAGGATCTAGAGTGACAGGACAAGGGGAAATGGCTTCCTGCTGCCAGAGGGCAGGGAAAGATGGGATATTGGGAAGGAATTCTTGGCTGTGAGAGTGGTGAGGCCCTGGCACAGGATGCCTAAAGAAGCTGTGGCTGCCTCATCCCTGGAAGTGTCCACAGTCAGGTTAGACGGGACTTTGAGCAACCTGAGATAGTGGAAGGTGTCCCGTCCTATGGCGGGGGGTGGAACTGGGTGAGCTTTAAGGAATCTTTCAACTCAAACCATTCTGGGATTCTGTGACTTAAATGACTCAAGCTGACATTATTATTCTGTGGCATTCCCGTGTCTGAGGTTGCAGATGAGCATCAATGCTGTGGATAAATATAGGAGTTAAAGATTATAGCAAAAAAGACTTTTTTCATTGCAATAAGACTGGCATATTTGGAGCAAAAAGCAGCAGTCGTGACAACACATTGTTTCTCTTTCCTCCAGAGCACAGCTGTGTTTTCCACTGCTCTGTCCACATTATGGCTAATTTGGAATCCTTCATCTGAAAAGCCATTTCTATGGATGAAATTGAGCACTTCAATATTTGCAAAGATGCTGTGGAGCTTAATTAGTTACCAGCAATATTTTATCTTATGGGTCCACTTTGAAAAGAAAATCTTAAATGCTGGAGAGATGACACAAGGATGTGACAGAAATAAACACAAGTTACAGGAGCAGCAGGAGGAGGCATTAAAGGATTCGCTATCTAGAGTATCAAAGTCTAACGATTAAAATATGTACTAATTCATATTAATTCTTAATATGAGCATCTTTATTAAGTGGGATTATCTCAGGTTTGGAAGAGCTTTCAAGTCCTGGTGCTATAGGTGTTTTGGAATCCTAAAACACTGAAACACACGTGTCTCCTAAACTGATTCCAGCTCCAATTCCATCACTGGCATGTGTAGGCTGTACAATATTTCTGGATCCCTGATTGCATCCCATTTCCAGCTCAGATGCCATGTGTGTCCCTGGAACTCGCCTGTTTTTACACACCCTCCTCTGAGTGTTTGTCTCCAGCCTTCCCTCTCCATGTGCAGGCTCTCCTGTCCTCTGTGTGTCAACCCAGCTTAGCTGTAAACCCTCTCTGCCTCCTCTAAAATTGTGCTTTGATTTTTTTTTTTTTTTTGCTGCTGGGCTGGAAATCCTGCACATTTGGAATTCAACCAGAAGGCTTCCAGATAAAATCACACCAGGCTGAAAGGCCACTGTGTCTTCAGGATGCAATGCTGGGATTGCTGCCCTGAGTGTCCTCGTCAGGGTGTGAGTCAGAGGTGGGCTTTGGCAGCTCCCCAACTTCTTTGGAGCAGTGCGGGAGTAACCTGGGAGAGCTTATGTGGGATGCATGGGGAGAAGAGCAAGGAAATTCAATTTATAAGAGCATGTAGTGACAGGACAAGGGGGAATGAAAATCGTAGGGAATACTGGGTAAATCTGGACCCTTCCTTGGTTACAAACTAGTCACCAAGGAAGGCCTAGCCCAAACCACCACAACACTGACAGAGGGGAAATTTAAGTTGGGTATACAGAAGAAACTCCTTCCTGTGAGGGTGGTGAGGCCCTGGCACAGGTTGCCCAGAGAAGCTGTGGCTGCCCCATCCCTGGAAGTGTTCAAGGCCAGGTTGGACGGGGCTTGGAGCAACCTGGTGTAGTGGAAGGTGTCCCTGCCCATGGCAGGAGGTGGAATGAGATGAGCTTTGAGGTCCCTTCCAACCCAAGCCATTCCATGATTCCATGATCCTGTAAAATTCGAGAGCTTCTCAAGGATATTCTGAATTTCCCTGTGGTCCATCAGCTCAGCAATCTCTCTACCAGCTGGGTGTGAGAGCCACACTTTGCTCAAGCTTTTCATTTCGCATTCTCTTCCTTTTCATTTCCCATTCCCTTCCGGTTCTCTATCAGCAGAGCTCAGGCCCATCCCCACAATCAGCCTCTCTCTGGATGGCTGCCGAGCTGGGATATTTATAGGGTTTACTGGAAACTGTTGGCACATTGCTGGGCTTCGAAATGTGATTGTTTTGCAAAGAAGGAAATTAGCTGGAGTGTGGGGCTGCTGGCCAGCTTGGACTGCGAGCAGAGGGAGCCCGAGGTCAGGTCATTGTTTCTTTTATCTTCAGAAGCAATTTGCCGCTCTCTGTGTTTTTTTAAGTGACTCTTAATGTGATGGACAAAGTGAGATCACTGAGTAGGAATCCTCCATTTTAGAAATACTTGAGGTATTAGTGAAGTACACCCTGAACCACTTAAACAAGTACCTACTGGAGTAGTCGGGTGGATAAGAATCTGGTAATTTATAACCGTGTTTGAGGAGTGACAGATGGGTCCCAGCTTGGAATAATAAAGCTGTAATGGAAGAATGTAGATGGGGCAGAACCTCGGGATGTTGTGAAATGGAGGAGATATTCTTGTCTTGGACAAGTCCCTTCTATTCTTCTTCTCCATCTTCCTGTTCGTGTAATTTTAGTTCATTTCTTTGGTGATTGTGGAGTTTAACAGGCTGAGGGTTGTGTTTAAAACCCTTGGCTTGAGAACACTCTTGTAAAACAAAATATTGACATTCCCTTGGTTTCCCTACAATAAACATCTCCAAGTGAGGCAGGTGTTGCAGGAAAGCACTTAGAAGCGTGGGGGTTGAATGCTGGAGAGCAGGTTGACCTCAAGTGTGACATGCTGGAAGGGTTACCTCTGCAAACTTCTGTCCAACCTGTCTGGCCACATGTTAGTCCTGTGTCTGGGAGGTCTCCCTTGGTAATCATTTAAGGGACAGCTGGAGGACAACCCCAGAAATGCCTTTCTTTGTACCTGCCACCTTTGCACTCCCCTCAGGACTCAACATGTGCTCACAGCATTCTGAGGAGAATTCTGAGGAGGAAACATTTGGGGCCACTGGGACCAGCGGATTTGAAAACAGATGATCTGCCAGGAGCCAGGTGCTTTTCTGGGGAGGACCAGCACACCTGCCATCCGTGTGGCCCTAAGCAGTGCACCTGGACTCTGCCAGCTCAGGTGTTTCACTCCCCTGCAGACCTATGGGCAGTCGACAGTATGTTTACATATCCTTCTCCCTGGTGATGGCCCAGGAAGTCTTCTGGCCCAGCTTGGTGATGTGGACACTGAAATGATGCCCCACCAATAAGATCTGTATTTTTTCCTGTTCCAGTTTTGCCAGTGAGGAATATCAGCGTGCCATGGAGCGGATAACTGGGATTGTCCAGCAGCACAAAGACACGCTGATACCTGGGGAGCCACAGCTGAATGTGTGTGACAAGGCCATTATGGTGAGTGCTTAAAGCAGAAACACAGTGGGGAATCCTTAGCTTGAAATATGTATTGTAAAGCCTTCATGAAGTGTCACCTAATTCTGGGAAGGGATGGAGAAGGGATGCTCACTCACCTGTTTGTGGCTTCCTTCCTTAGAGACAGGGCAGGATCCACAACTGTAGATCCTTCTTCTCCTTCCTAATCGCCTCCTACAAATCTTAAAAGTCATGGAATCATCGAAGCATAGAGTGGTTTGGGTTGGAAGAAACCTTAAAGCTCATCTTGTTCCACCCACCTTCCTTCCATGGGCAGAGACACCTTCCACTAGACCAGGTGACTCCAACCTCGCCTTGGACACTTCCAGGGATGGGGCAGCCACAGCTTCTCTGGGCAACATGTGCCAGGGCCTCACCACCCTCACACAGAATAATTTCATCCCAATATGCCATCTAACCCTGTCCTCTTTGTTTTGAGTCCTCTGTGTCTGAGTGGTGGCACTGGGACAGTGCTTCTCTTTCAGTGATGTATCTTTGATCTTGTTCAGTCTCCTCCAGTTCCACCCGTGCCTGAATTTTCCAAGATCTTTCTGGCTTGCGACATGACAAAATGTTTTCAATTCTCTTTTCTGTTTCAAGTCTCATGTTGAAAAGTTACAGTTTGGCTTTCCTGTCAAACACAACTTGGTTTGTTGAGAACCTGGGAAAGCAACTGGATAGTGTGGGGGAGGTAAAGTTGTCAGATGATGAGAGGCTGTGTAGTCTGAGGGAATGTGTCTGTGGGCTGACACAAAATAGTAACAGCAACATCTTTCTGATGCTGAAATAATCTTCTGAAACAGTCAGAACCTGCTGCTTTGGGTCTGTCACCAGGAAAGAACAAAAGGTGGATTTGTGTCCCCTCAGTAACAAGGAAAAGATCTTTCTTAGCCTTGTCCCATCTTTTTATTTTTGGCTGTTAAATAGGAAAAAGATTTGAAGGCCCATTGTTTCTGTGCTGTTTTCTTTTCTTATTCAACTTTTCCCCTAATAAACACTGTTCTGTGCTCCCCTGGGACCTTTTGGATTCAGGAACTGTCCACAGAGCCTGGCAAAGGCATTTCTTCTGTGCTGCCTCCAAAACTGGTTCACAAATTTTAGGCCATCTGAGGCAGAAAGTGGGCTGGGGAGGATCCCAATTCCAGGAGAAACATTCAAATGCCAACAGGAAGCATTATGAGTTTTGTAATCTATGTACACTCCTTACAGACTGATTGCGTGGTCACTAAACCAAAATATCAGGCACCAAATTGTTGCCTTTTGAGACCAGAAATTAAGAAAACCAAATCTTTTTGGAGTGGTTGGTAGACTGGGCCTGATATCTGTCTTTGGGGGATACTAGGAGATAAATATTGTTGACTAATACAATCTAATTTACTGTCTCCTAAATCTTGTCACCTATTTATTAGATATGGGTGTTGAATATCCTTTCTGGGACAGAGGAGAATTGTCTTTACTTACACATAAGCAAAGTGTGTGGAAGTGTTCAAGACCATGGAGTGACAGGACAAGGAGGAATGGCTTCCCACTGCCTTCCCTGTGAGGGTGGGGAGGCCCTGGCACAGGTTGCCCAGAGAAACTGTGGCTGCCTCATCCCTGGAATTGTTCAAGGCCAGGTTGGACGGGGCTTGGAGCAACCTGGTCTAGTGGAAGGTATCTCTGCCCATGGCAGGGGCTGGAACGAGATGAGCTTTAAGGTCCCTTCCAACTCAAACTATTCCATGATTCCGTGGCAGCAGAGGCATCATTTTGGAGCTCCTGCAGTCGTGGGATTGATAGATGCACAGCAGCACCAGCCCTCTGGAGCTGGGAGGTCTTTGCTGGCCCATCTGTGGTGTCCCACCAGCAGTGTCCACGAAGCTCCCACAGAGCCAGCTCTGCTGTTTTTTCATCCTGTGGAAGTGCAGGAAAAGCTGTTCCATGCAGTGGAGCCATGCTGGCCTGACTTGCAGCACGGGTGGTGTCCCCAGGGCTCCCAGCACAGCTCCAGGAAAGCCTTGGACTGTGAGAATGAAACACACACCACTTATTGTTTGATATTTTTCAAAAGAACAAACATTTCATTTGTTCTTTTGGCTCTCAGTTCCTTCTGCAGAGTGGCCTAAAATTTCCAGCCGTGGTTGTGCATTTTAAAATGGAGAAACAGATTTAGGAACCAGCATTAATTGTTCTTAAAGCCTCTGGAGCCCTTGGTGCAGAGATACCTCCACCAGAGTTCCCTCTGTGTCTGTTCCTCTGCAGGGATAGCTGGTGTCTCACTGCCATCTGTTGTCAGTTCCATGGAATAAAATCCTGCTCCAGCATTTTTTTTCTGGGGTTAAGCTTTTCATTTCCTCTGTAGGAATTTACATCCAAAATACGTAAATATTTGAAGGATAAAAATAAACAAAATGAAAGGCAATAGGTCAGAGCTGAACTGGTCTTTGATATGTACAGACCTGAGAGAGGGAGGAACAGGGAATGAGCACAAAAGATTTCTGAAGGCAGAATGGGAATTACAGCCTGCCGTTCACATGACCACGATCCCAAATTTTAAATGGCAAAATGCCAATTAAATAAAAAAAGTTCATTTTTCCAAATTCTTTCCTTTGTTGATCCCTTAGGAAGCTGAGGTTTGCAGTGGGTCTCCTTGCTGGTGTCCTTTCTCTGTTGTACACAGGCAGGTAGTTCAAGAAACATGGAAACAAGGGAGACAAATAGTTTTGTGTGGAAGAGGTGTCCCAGGAATGCCTTCTGCTCCATCTGCTCATGGATTCATCCATCAAAATGCTCATTAAAATACCAGCATTCTTATCTCTCTCACACCCTTGGCCTTCTGCTGCTTTTTGCTTCCTCAACAAAGTGCCTGGATATCACAGTGCTAAGAATGGGAACTCTTCTGGACCCCAGGAAAATTGGGAATGTCACCAAAACCTCATGGTCTGGTTGCTCTGTGCTGCTACAAGAGAGAGAGGAGGGTCACAGAGTCCCAGCAAACTGGTCTGGGAGAGACCAGGAAAGATGCCAGAAGAGGGAATCATGTGCTGCAGAAGGATTTGTAGCCTTTCCTAAAGCTTTTATTTGACTAATGTTTGGAATGGGGAAGTTTATGAGCCCAGAGGCATCGGCTGCAAGAGGAGTTTCATTTTTCAAGCAGGACATAAAAGTGTCTTTGTGAGGATCAAAAAAGGCTGGTTGGGGTTAGAGCCTAGGAGACACTTGGTGTGAATCATCTTTATGTCTATTTTTGTTTGTCTTTAACAGAATTGGTCCCCTCCAGGCTGTGAGAAGCTTGGGAAGTGCCTGAAAGCGCCTGAGTCTGATCCTAAGAAATGCTCTTGGCCTCACTGATCTCTGCATCCCTCCAGAGCTGCACAGAGAGCCCGGAGCAGCCGGACATCCAGCGTGTCTGCTCATGTTGGCACTCCTGTTTACACAGGAAGGGTGTGATGTGTGTGTGAAATCATCACTTGTTCTTCCAAAAGGGCCAGTGTTTATATTCCTCATGCTCAGGGTTTAGCCTCCACTCCTCTCTTCTGGTTGTTTCCCTAAATGGTAACCTCAGCAGTCTGTTTCAGCTGTAAAAGCTCTCTGGACAATGACAACTCTGCCATCACCTCCAAAATGCCATGGATTCCCCTTCCTCCTTCCACCCTTGGATTCCCCTTGCTCCTTCCACCCAACCTGCTCTCCCAAATCTTTGCTCACTGGGATGCCCCAACAGCAGCCATAGGGATGGAGCAGGAAACTCAGAGCTGCCAGAAAGCCCTGCCCAAAGTGCCCGTGTTTTGTGTGCCTGTAACTTGTTGTTTTAACATTTGATTTCCATTGTGAACTCTGGATATCAACTTGTTTTTCCTTTCTTCCCAAATTTGGGAGTTCTGGGTGCAGCTGCTGGGAGCAAACAAGCGCTCCCTCCTGTTCCCAGCTAAGGGGTTGGATTTGGGGAGAATGCCCTGACTTTCTTGCATCTGTAGCTGCAAACATTCCCTAGGTTATGGTACAAGGAAATTTGAGGATAGTGTTCAGGTAAGTATTGGATTAGGGTTACAGCAGCATTCCAGTGCCTAAAGGGACTCCAAAAGAGGACTTTGGACAAGGGATGGAGTGACAGGCCAAGAGGGAATGGCTTCCCACTGCCAGAGGGCAGGGTTAGATGGGATATTGGGAAGGAATTCTTGGCTGTGAAAGTGGAGAGGCCCTGGCACAGGTTGCCCAGAGAAGCTGTGGCTGCCCCATCCCTGGAATTGTCCAAGGCCAGGTTGGATGGGGCTTGGAGCAACCTGGTCTAGTGGAAGGTGTGCCTGCCCATGGCAGGGGGTGAGACTGGATTATCTTTAAGGTCCCTTCCAACCCAAACCATTCCATGATTCTATTGCCTGATTGTTGGTATGCAGGACATTCATGGGGAACTGGGGGTCGGGTGATCATTTCAGGGGTTTTCTTAATTTCCAAAAATCCATGTCTAAATCTGATTTAAGTCATGCTTCTCATCTCATGATCCAGGCCCAGCCAAGTGCAGGCTCAGAAATACCCGTTTACATCAGATGTTAACTCTTGACCCTGTTTCCAATGCACGCTCTCCGAGGAATCCTCCTTGTGCAAACTTTCCACAGCCTGGGTGTAGCTTTCTTTAAACAGAGTTCCTGGTGAGCGCGGGGCCTTCGCATGATTCTGTGGTGCAGATTCCTCTTCTGCCTTGGAGCCTCTTCCACACCCTTCCCTGTTGCTAATAAATGTGTCTTGAGCAAAACCAAGTTGCTCTGGGGCTTCAGGGCAGTAGCTGGAAGGAACCCTGAGCATGTTTGGGTTCAGATTGAAGGAGGGGAAATTTAGGTCAGATATTAGGAAGAAATCCTTCTTTGTGAGGGTGGGGAGGCCCTGGCACAGGTTGCCCAGAGAAGCTGTGGCTGCTCCATCCCTGAAAGTGTCCAAAGCAAGGTTGGACAGGGCTTGGAGCAACCTGGTGTAATGGAACGTGTCCCTGCCCATGGCACAGGGTGCCATGGGATGAGCCCTAAAGTCTCTTCCCACACAAACCATTCTGAAATTATATGTTTGCACCACCAGCAGCTCCACTTGACACCTCCAATGTTTCCCACAGTACACATGCCCTCTCTGTGTGATGATGTGCTACCTTGGGAAAAAAATCCAGGTGCTCTGTCCATGGAAACAGCTCGACTTCCTTCCCAGGCAAAGCTGGGACTGCTTGAGAGCACTGCCTGTGCCAACTGCTGTGCTGCCTGCTCTGGGCTTTCAGCTGCCTGTTCTTACCCTCCCTGTAATCCAAACGCTCCCATTCTTTCCGTTCCCATGGTTTATGCTACCTGTAATCCCCTCCACAGTAATTCCTAGTGTACATCTCCTGAAGCTGGATAATCCTAAGAGATCGGCATAAGAACAGCACTTGAGTCAGCTCTTACTGTTCCACCTCTCAGAAATCCCAGCATTTCTTTCACCAGCAGTCTGTGGATCCCTGTGCATCTGCAAGTGGCATTTGTTTATAGTCCACATTTCTTAGCTGATTTATGATGTTCCTAATTGTCCTTCATGTATATCATGGCATTTCCAGCTCATCCATAACATTCCTCCTTGTTTTGACATAGCCTGGATAGCTCAAGGCTTGGGAGATTCTGACCAGCCAGTTCCTCAGTGACACAAGGAGAGAGACTGGGAGGACATGTGGGTCTGTCAGCACAGGACACCAGATAAAACCAGTAACTCCCGTTTGCTGGGTCTGTCCACCTCTGCTTTAGTGCTTCCTTGAGTGTCCAGAGATGGGAATGGAGCTGGGGAAGGGGCTGGAGCACCAGGAGCGGTTGAGGGAGCTGTGGGGGCTCAGCCTGGAGAAAAGGCTCAGGGGGGACCTTCTCGCTTTTTCCAACTCCCTGACAGGAGGGTGGAGTGGAGGGGATCAGGCTCTGCTCCCACGGATGTCAGGGAACAAGGGACAGGATGAGAGGAAACGGCCTTAAGCTGTGCCAGGGGAGGTTCAGGTTGGATAGTAAGGAAATTTTTTTGTGGAAAGGCTCAGAAAGCATTGGAAGGGCCTGCCCAGGGCCGTGGTGGAGTCACCATCCCTCGTGTTCAAAAAACATGTGGATGTGGCACTTGAGGACATGGTGATGGTGTTGGGCTGATGATTGGAACTGATGATCTTAAAGATCTTTTCCAACCTTAACAATGCTGCAATTCGACGATTCAATCACCCAGAATTCTCAGAGCCCTGCAGTTCACTATAAAGATCCCACCAGAGGAGGGAGTCCATCACTGCAACTCTCTGGAAATCCTCATCAGCCCTCAAATAGTTGTGAAGTAGCAACACTTCGTGGGGTTTTGTGCTGCTTATGAAGAGTTCACATCATGGGATCAGAGCTGAGCACTTGCCTGGACATGTTCCTCAGTCCTTAGCACTTGAGAACACACACTGTGAGTGTTCTGAGTGCCTGCTGCCCCTGTCCCCTCCCTGCTGCTTCCTCCTTTTCTCTCTCACAGCTCTCAGTTCTGAAGGTCCTGCTTTTCCCCTGGAACTTGCTTGGACAAGCCACCCTGCTCTAAGCAGCCACAGTGTTTATCCTCTCCCCCAGCACTCGAAGTCCTCATTCCTCACTGAAACAATCTCTCAGGACCCAGATACAGGAGGAAAACTTTGCACTAGAAAGCAAGTAAGTGAATTCACTTAGTGTGTGTTTATAGTAAATGGACACAAAACAGATAATAAATAATCAAAGCTTAATATGACAAAGCTTCTGCTTTAAATTTAAATAAGAATAGTAGTGTTACAGCTGTTTATCAGGAAGAATAATTTATCAGAAATGCATTCTATGATTTCACCTGTAAACCAGGGGAATAACACTTTGCTGGGGGAGAGTCTCACAGATCACGGGACTGACTTGGGTTAAAAATAACTTGGTTTGTTTTCCCAGTATTATTTTTACCTTGGATCAATTTCCCAGCCCACAGAGCTGCCCAGGAGCAGTTCAGGGGCTGGAGGGGGACCAGGACCGGGGATGAGGATGATGCCTGCAGCCTCCAAAATGCACCTTGGAGCAGGAAGTGGCCACATCTGCCCTTAATAATGATCCTGAGCCTCTAGTCTGAAGCTGCCCTGTTTGGGAACTGCCCATACTGGGCCAGGAGTGGGTCTGGTGGGGTTCACAGCCCACTCAGGGACCTGCAGCAGCCAAACTGGTCTGTTGGTGGCTTCTTTGCTCAAGCTACAAGACATAAATGCTAAAGGAATGATGATGTTTAATGCTGTGATGTTCCTTTCTTTATATTTTTTATGCTAAATGCTAAAAGCTGAATATCTACTTGGGCTAAGAGTCCAAGGAATTTCTTTCTTGCCTTTAATTTCCAATTAGCTGAGCCTCTCGAGCCTCCCCGCTCTGCCCCTGAGGCTGTGTTATCATCCGACCCTCTGTGCGGAGAAGCTTCTGAAATGGATGGAACTAATAATCGTGGAAAAACTCCGGCTGCATTTACAGCCTCTGCCTGCAAAAGTGGAGCCTTGATTTCAAAGCCTGCGGCGACAAATGGATTATTTCGGTGGCAAATTAGTCTCTGGGGACCGACAATTTGGGGAGCTGAGCGCTGGAACTGGAAAGCAGCAGATCAATTCCGAACACTTGGAGCCAAGGTTAATGCCCTGCGAACTATTGAGTGCAGCAATGAAGGATAACGTGTCAAATGGGAAGCTTGGGAATATGGAATTAAAGGGAAAATGGGGAAGGTTGGAACAAGGAGAGCGAGCGAGACCCACAGATTTGTTAATAAAACCTGGGGACTGAGTTTTTGGGTGAGCGCTGAGGATGACAGTGGGATTTGAATAGAAGAACTAGAACTAACATCTCTGGGAAGGAGGGTTTTGGACTTGGGACAGTAATGGAAGCTGGCAGTTCTCATACCTGCCACACTGAGCCTTTCCTGAACATCATGGGCAGCTCCCAAAAATTCCTGATTTCACATGAAGAGGATGAGACGAGGATCTCCTGAAGGTTGGAGACCACTCTTCCCACTTTTATTTGAAATAACCACATGAAATCATTCCAGCAGCTGGACAAAGACCTTTGGAAGGTGAGAATTAAATGGAGTTTGGGGGGGAGGCAAGTTTGGGGGTGCTGAGAGGTGGGTTTTGTCTGCAGAGTTTCCAGCAGCCTCCTGAGCACAGCCAGATGAGAAATCCCTCCCCAGGGATCCTGCTCTTGTCCTCAGCACTGGGAAACTTTACAAAAGAAACACACTTTTACTGTCTTAAGAGCTACTTTGCTTGTCCAGCTTCCAAATAACTGTTTTGCAGTTAAAATGGCTTGTTTTCCATCTCTCTTTACAGTTATAATACTTGGAAATGGACTTTTCCTTTTGTTTTCTGATAGTATTGGATGGTTTTGTATGTTATCAGAGGGCAACACTCTGGTGCCTCTTGAATTAAACTGTCAGATTTTAAGAACAGTTGTAAGGGAAGGACTGAAATCCCATTTTAGGTTCTTTTTTCCTATGGAAAATGGCTATTTTAAAAACCCAGACTCCATTTGCCTGTTTTCTTTATATCCCCTTCCACCGTTCAAAGTTTTGTTGTTGCTCAAAGTCTAGTTGTGATTATATAAATCCCAAATAAAGGTGGATCAGTAGCCAAAAGCTTGTGGTCTTTTAGGAGGGAGGAAAAACTCTGCCTTCCAGCTTCTGGAGAGAGGCAATCTGGCAGCATTCTGAGCCTTTGTCCCTCTTGGAGTCACTTGACACCCTTCTGGGTGATAGGAGCTTGGTAGCACAATTCCCATCTGAAAGGGAGAGCAGATAAAAGCCGGCAGCAAGGAATGTGTGCCAAATCCATTAGTTCTGG